GAAAATCCTTAATACTTTTATACTATTAATCCCTTAGTAAAATAGAAAGAATCGATTTATTGGAAAATAAATTATATTCATCTTACATTGTAGAATATGAAAAGTGAAATTTATGTGGGCCAAGCATGACAAATTTTTTCAAAGTTCGAAATATTAATGTTTTTTCATTAGCTTTCGATTAACTTTGTGTTTGCTCAGAGAAAATTTACACGCCTGGTCAGTTAGTTATTGTAAATTCATTTCAAAACGAAAAAATAATACATGCACATGAAATTAGTCACGAGATACAATTTATCATGACACAATTGGTTCAGTAAAGTTACTTGAATATATTAAATTTACTTTATTTCCAAAATTTTATTTTATAATGGTAAAATATTAACATGATTGATTACTAATACAATAGTTAATATTTTCAGGTATAGTTGAATAGGCAGAACATATTCCATGTTCCATGTTCTTGCTCTTGTCCAGTAAGAAAAGTAAACATTCAAATATTAGAAAAATTTAATATTAAAAATTTTCTAATTATTATTAACTACAAGACATGAACTCACTTCAGTAATTAACACAATAAATTTTACTTTCAAATTTTTGTTGGAAAAAATATTTATGAAAATTAAGAGAAAATTTTCAGCATTAAATCTCACCGTCAATCCTTTTTTTTTTTTTTTTAATCACTTAAGATATTAAAAGTATTAAGATATCTAGATTTGATTTGCCACTGTACAGTCATTTTTTGCACATAAGGAATAACTAGACGACCTACAGTTAAAGCAGATTCCGAACCACTAACAAACATCCATGTCATGGGCACCAATATGGTATTTCTTCATAAATTTAGCCACTTGGCCATCAGGTCACTGATATACCTATCCTAGTATAGGAGACAGTAAGTTGGGTTTCTCAACTGTGGAAGCTCAATTTGAAACTCGACAAGTGACAAGTGACTCGGCATTTAAAGTAAACTCAAGTGACACTTAAAGTGAACTCACACACTCAAGTGACTCGACACTTAAGTGAAACTAGACAAACTCGAGATCCTTCACTTAAGATCTCATTTCTATGTCAGGAGTTGTGCTTCAGGAGAATTTGTCTTGCGATTCTGCCTCTTCAGAATCCGAAATATCACGGGCACCTTGGAGGAGGAATGAATTCTTCCTTTCTGTCATAACTAATATCCCTCGAATACACGTCTGAAAGTTCAGCCAACAAATTTTCAATTTCAATCAACTGTTAGAGGTTTATTAGACTGCACTTTTTTTGGTGGAGGAGGGGATCGTGAAGACCCCGCAGAATTGCACATCGTCTCTGCTACTCATATTACAAGATTTTTTAATAGCTAATAAATTCGAACCTGAACATTTACAACTACTTTCTAAACTTTAGTTTGGTTTGTCTCTCCACAGTACGCGTGTCTAACGTGGATTCCGAATCACTAACAAACATCCATGCCACCGTCAGGATTCGGAACTTGAAGCTCGCGGTACCAAAAGCTAGAGTGCTAGCCAACTGGCCGGTTCTAAACTTTACTCCGCGCGAATACCAGCAGATACAGACATATATTGCTGATTGATGTGGAGATAAAATATTAAAGCACAGCTCTTCCCGCAAGAATCGGCTATTGGCTACTGAAACATCATCACACCGCGCTGTCGCGTGATTGGCTCTTTAGCATTGACGTCACATCCCAGCGGGTATGAGATCATCAACGAAAATTTTGAGAATTACATAGTATACAAGTATAAAACAGAATGGAAGAAAAAATTATTTTATTCATTTTCATTTACAATATCCAGTAAAAATAGGAAGTGTTGTAGCATTTTTTTACTCACGGGAAAAGTTTTAGCATTTCATTCCCAGGAGAAAGGAATGCATATTATTTGACAAGTATATAATATCAACTCCTCATTCAAATTTGACTATAAGCAATACTACGGGTAGTTATTTGACATGCAATTAGTGTTTTGTACTAATGAGAACAACCTGTCAAATCTGCTAGAAGATATTCGGTGTCACGTATAATGAGACCCAGGAAATTAACGAATGTACTGTGCGTCATTCACAGGTCGAAACAACTACAGATTGAAATTGAACTATACCATAAGTTGTTCCATCGTGATTGGTGATAGACCACGAGCTGAGAAATATCTACTCCAATGAAAAGTGAGGGAAGCCCCCCTCCGCCATCCTCTTGACGGATTGTCTTAAAAAGGAGGGTTTTGGTGTAGAAGAGAGTGAGTTCTGCGACGAGTCATCCAGAAATGTTGTTTTACTTTTTTCTCTGAAGTTACCACCTACTTTTCAAAGTGAACCCCTTATGGTTTCATTTATAGTATCACGCCATGTAATAATTAAGGTCTGCCGCAGACTAAGCAATTAGACTCGTAGACTCGAGAACTCTGAAAAATCTCTGACCTTGTGAACGTGTGATTTAATCGTGCACTTTTGATCACATTATATTTTTAAGCTTTATTTCTTTGTATAATAATCCATAGTTCATTATTTATATATATATATATAAAATGCTTGTAAATAAAAATTAAAGTGTTCCCCTGAACTTGAAAGTGGTCCTGTTCTTGAAGCCGTTATATGTCTAATATAGGCCGAGACGTTACAGTACTGTAATTCAGCAATACTTATGCTCGAATCGCCCTAGTTGAAACCCTGGTATTCGTAGCCTTCTGATGATGATGTTATAAATGAAGTGGCGTTCATGCTGTGAATTCTTCAGACCATTAGCTTTAAATAAAATTCCTCATTTTTTGTGATATTACATACCTACAATCTTGTCTGGCTAGTATATTCAAGTTCCAATTTCAAAATAACGGTTCTATTATATCTTTAATTTTCATTTCTTTGTAAAAAATAATTTGTAATAACCCAGAGTTCTGTATATATATATACATGTGTGTGTGTGTGTATAATTATATTAAGTGTTATATAATTATACATATATATATATATATATATATATATATATATATATATATATATATATATATATATACAGAATATATAGACCTTATATAAAGTGTTCCCATGAATCTGAAAGTGGCCTTCTTCTTGAAGTCGTCATAGGTCTAGTACAGGCCGTGGCATTAAAATATCCTAAGCTTTCTATGTGAATGCTATTTTGATAATTCGCTACTGAAGTAGAATAAGTAAAACACCTCTATAATTCATATTCAAGGTTTTCATTTTTAAGATTTTTTTAATAATTTCTTGATAAAACAAGCATTTATTTAGTTTTACTTTTTTTTTTTTTTTTAACTGTATTACAACAATAATTCATTTTTATTTTCAATTTGGGAAAAAAAATTAAAGACATTAAGTCAGAAAAATAAAAGAAAGTAAGTTAAAATATTAGATAATTTAACGAATAAATAATAGAAATTAGCAAAGATGTGTTTATGTGATTCGTTAAATCAGTTTCTCACGAAACGTCTTACATGTTAATAAAAATTATTTTCAGTTTATCTAATCTAATAAAACAATCTACTACATATCCGTTTCCAAAATCATCCTTAGACATTTTTATTAGTTCTATTTGTTACTACTTATATAGAACCACGTGTACCATTGGGAGAGACTCAAGAAAGACTCTTTACACCACCCTATTGTGAAAAATGTCTTTTTCTTAAGTTTTGTAGTAGCGCCATCTATCAATAAAATATATAAATATTCTAAACGAAGCCTTATTACAGAAAGATATTGTTTTTTCCCCTTTTCAGTTTAAATGAAGTGTTTTAAAAATAAAACAGAAGAAATAGGTGCTTTGTTTTAATCTTTAATAAAATATATTTTGATGAAATGTTACGATAATTGTGTTGCTATTTTAAAAGATATATATATATATTACAATGCTTTAGCATAGTGATTAGTACATGGTGTTGTGGGCGTAATAACTCTAGTTTGAATCCTGATAATCCTGATTTTTGTCCTTCGATTTTTCCCGGATTTTAGGAGGAAATCGATATTCTGCATTATTTTAGAATTAAAATAGAAATTTCATTTGTAAGTACTTCTTTTTTTAAGATGAAATAAATTTACGGGTATTTTAAACGTGTTAATTAATACAGATTCAATTTTCATAATTATTTCTTAGTTATTATCAATTACTTTGTGATTTTCCACACCCTGAAATATAATAATTTGACACTTTCAACTATAGCCTCTTGTATCAAAGAAGGCGAAAGTTTTGCAAAAACAGATTCAATAAGGAAAAAAAGGTACAAACAAGCTATCTTGAGCCTCTTCTGTAGAATTCGAAAGTTTTTTGTCTTCGAAAGTTTTGCAAAAACAGATTCAATAAGGAAAAAAAGGTACAAACAAGCTATCTTGAGCCTCTTCTGTAGAATTGTTAAAGGAAACCAAATTCTCAAGCTAATAGAAATTCATAAGATTAAACAATAAATATTTGTAATTAAATAAAAATAAAAAGTTCATTTTGCCAAAAACATAGCATTTTTATTGTGGCCAGTAATTGATCAAAAACTTTTTTTTTTTTTTTTAATTTAATATGTGGGATTAAGTTATCAAACAGTATTTTCAAAATTCAGTAAATTTTTATTAAAATTTCTGTAGGAATTAATTTTTTTTTTATGATAATTTTCATATTCTAGATGATTTATTGAAGCACCTTTATGCACTATTGGCCATAATCATCTCTGATCAAAGCTTTAAGATAAAATGCAGTTCTTTCTAGGATGGTTTGTTTGTTGTTTCTTATCCCACTTGGCTGGCCAAGCCCACAAGCCCATATGGACTCATAATTGAAGGGGAAGGAAGCAGCTTCTGTTGTGATGGAGCACCCGTAGGTAGAAGCCTGACTTTTGCTCCGTGACGCTCTTACAGTCATAGAAGAACCGGGACCTACGGCTTAAAGTGGATTCCGAACCACTACAAACATCCATGGCACCGCCGGGATTCGAACCCGAAACCTGTGGCACCGAGCGCCAGAGCGCTAGACACTCGGCCATTCAGGTCCCAAATTTGCCAACGGCACGCGGTGTTCCCAGGTGGTCACCCACCCAAGTACTGACCGCACCCAATGATGCTTAACTTAGGATGGTTTTCAGAGGTAAATTACCATTCATTTCCTTAGACTATTAGAAAGAAACCGTAAATGTTACTAAAAAAATTTTTTTAGAAGATTCAAGATAATCTACGATTTCCAATGGGTGTCATCGTTTTTCAAAGTTGAAAAAGGGTTACACCCATTGTCAATTATCGAATTCATACGATAATTAACAAATTATTCAGATAGACAACGAAAACTGGCAACATTCACCGAACTTGTTTTGTAAACATTAGATTCATCATGTCTGCGGTATACATTGCCGGAAAATCTATTAAACAAGGACTTTCCAAAAATGTTTTAAAAAATGTCTCTTTTATTCAAATTCGTTTTATTAGAAAGGAGAAAGAATCAAGATATTTAGGTTTCTATAAACGAAGACTTCCAAGTCCTGAATATTGGGCACGCAAAGAAAAGTATCGAAGTACTGTTTTAAAACCTCTTGAAGAGATTCCTTCGTTAGAAGATAGATTAAAAGGTGTATAAATATTTTCAGTAGATTTATTTTTAATTTTTATAGATTTCATTAAAATATTTCTTAGGAGGGAAATTCAAGCAATCCTTCTACCATTCTTCTGAATTACAGGATATCTGTAAATGCATTTATAACAAACCCGAATTGAAAATTGTATATCTAACACAGAAGAGATTATAATTTTAATTTCAAATAGCTTCACAAGTCTAAAATTATTCTTTTAAAATGCATTTTATTGCAAAATAAATATGGTCCCCAAATTTCTTACAGTTTCTATAAAAGTAAACTTAAAATGAATAATTTTGGATGAAAAAGGAAACTTAAATTCAAAATAGATTAACTGCTAAGTATTTCTAGACATTCAGTAATTAGTATAATTTTTGAAGGGGGATATTACTGTTTGTTGATTGTTTGAACAAATGTGAATGTGATAATTAATATTGTCACTAAAAAAAATGCAATGTTAAATCATGAATTTTAATTAATTAATAGCATTTGTCTGATTGTAAATTTTTTTTAATATTGAGTTTAATTGAATATTTTGTTTTACAGAATTAAATGCTCCAGATCCTGTTTTGGATAGAAAAATTGATATTGGTTTTAGTAGATCTGAAAAAAAGAATATTACAATTCAAGATAGGTTAGATTGGCAAAAAGCATGCAAAATCAGCAAAACACAACTTTCTGATGAAAATGAACTCCGTAAGTGTGCATGACTGTATACAAAACCCTTATATGGGTAATTTGTACCATTAACTTAAGCATCAAAACAAGCATTTATGTTAAATTAAAATATTACTTTGAGGCTTTTACATTTTTATACGAAATATATGAAGTATCTATTAACTAATCGATCTTTCCCATATATGAAACCCTTCTGATTTATTCCCAAATTTTTATACAATTTGTTAAGTTTCTTAAATATGTATTCATTTTTTCCCATGCAAACCTTAGTTGTAAGGATTGGTGACCCCAAAATGAAATGTATCAAAGTGAGGTGTATTCTAGTGATTAAATATATAAATAATGTGCATTGTAATGTGTCATATTAAGGATTACAGCTAGAATTAGAAATAATTTTTACTAGTAGGTGTTAAATGATTATGGAAATTATTTAGACTTAATGAGATTAACATTTTACTTATTAAATACATAAAAAAATTAAATGTATAATAATAGTTAAATACTTAAAAACTTACTTGTTAAATACTTAATAATGAACAAAGTAATAGCTCAAATAAATAACAGCACAAATATAAGCATGAAACAGCAAAATTCACTGTTCAAGAACACTGATACCATGTATAAAAAAACATGACATGTCATACAGGTCATCATAAAAACAAGTAACAAACCAAGTTTAAATAGTTATCTCCAAATTGGCATTGAAATGAGAATCAGTGGTGGGGAACTCAAAATACAGAATCTGTCAATATTTTTAATTAAACAAAAAATGGGATTAATGAAGCAAAAACATTAATAGAAGCCAAAACTAAATTGAATTAACTTACAATTGTGATCATGATGAATAATTTATTTTTTCTGGCAAAACTTGCTTGTTGATAATATATGCGATAAAATTTGCTGATATAAAAAGACTTTAATTCTAATTTAAAAATACATTGATTATTTAAACAATAGGAACTTTTCATATGTATTTCAAATATTTTCTTTTGATTAGTTTTATTAATAATTAAATTTAAAGCATGTTTATATATATATATATTGATAAGATGATAGATATAATGGTTTAAAATATTGATTGTATTTTCTTTTCAATATGTATTAAGCTTGTACATCATTATATTTTACTTAAATTAGATTCGTAGTTCAATTAATCATGTTTTTTCTCACTTTCCTAATTGTTTTTTTGTTTAAATTGTCCATGGACCAAACTAACATTTGATATAAAACATTTAACGATTATGTCAAAACTTGTATTTAATTAATTCTAGCATGTTTGTTACAGGAAAAATATAACACATTTAAGAGTCAAAATTTGTTAAATAATAAACTGAAGTGTATCTTTTTTTTTTACTCATAAAAGAAATAAAGGCAAAATGATGAATAAAAGGTGTAATAATTTGCTTGGCCTTTATTGTAATATAAAGATATTTTAGATCAATTTAAAAAAATTAATGTAGCTTCATTTTTATCAAAAATAATATTTTTGTTTTATTTAAAATTTTATAATTTATGAAATTATGAATTTATTTATAATTAATTATGAATTATGAATTTTATTTTATAATTTATCTTTCTAAAAGTATTTTTGTTCATTATAGGTTATTTGTATTTTTTTGCTGTATGTATTAAAATAAATTTTTTTAAATTTAAATTAGACTATTTTCTGTAGTTATTCAAGAAATTGTTAAAAATATAAAATATTTACTTATTAATTTCATGGTTAATGAGCTATTTGTGTGTCCAAACCTAAATTAAAGTTTTTAAAAATTTCAAAGTCATTAAATTCTGCAATATAATAAAAATTAATTAATTTCTTCTATATATAATTTAATCGACTAAAAATTTTATCTGTTTTTACTTTTTTAGAATTTAAAAAAGATGTTTTAAAATGCTTATTATTTAAACCTTATTTTACTTGTAATGCAGATTAAAGTTATATAGCATATTATTACCTTAATCCTGATTGTGTAGTCTCCAACCAGCATAAGTATCCAACATAAATTTAATCATTTCATTAAAGTATTGATATTTTTTTAAATCTAATTACATAAAAATATATATTGACCTTTTTACTCCATTTAAGTATTAAACTTCATTTTTTCTAAAACTCTAAAACAAATCTAATTTCTTTCTTCCAAAAATCATTTCTTTAACAATTAAGTCATGTACATATTTGTTTAAAAAAACTGTGTATCTTTTATGAATAAAATTGTAAATAATTTTATATCTTTTCCTATTATGATGATAAATATTAATGCTGCATTTCTTTGTGGATTTTTTTTCACTTATTTACTTATTTTCAGCATTATAATTTTGAATACTTTTGTTATCTTTTGTGTAGGAAAAATTGATCTTGCTACAATTAAAAAAGACTCATTTGAATTGGAAGGATCTGTACAATTACAAAACTTAGCAGAACATTATGGAATATATTCTCATCTCTATCAACATGGTTATTTTACACCTCGTGTACCTCTCAACATAAGATATGATTATGATGAAGATTATGTTTCTCCAGTACATAGCGGTAACATTTTACAAGCTTCAGAAGTGAGCATCAAATACAAAATAATAAAGTATTTTCTATTTTTGCAAATAATTTTTGCTTTCTAAATGATATACTTATATAAAAAGTTTTGTTAAAACTAAATTTACAACAAATAAATATTTAATTGGTCAAAAGATATTTACAATAATCAAATGTTTCCTTTAATTAATCAAATTGTATGAATATAAAAATTGCTAGATAATATATTATGTACCAATATTAATTAAAATTTCACAATAATTCATTATTTATAAAGAATAGTAAAATATATAGACTTTTTTTTATAATCTGTTCTGTCTAAAAAGATTTTAATATTTCTTTAAAAAAATATTTGCTTTTATATTCTGTCAAAAATTTATTACTTTGTTAGTCAATTTGCATATTATACTTGCTTTCCCATTAAGTTTTATCACTTTGTCAGATAGTTTTTTATTCTTTAGTATCATTTTTTTTTTTTAAATTAATGTAGAATGTATTTTATTGATTTGTAAATGTTTCTCGTAATTTTAAAAAATAGGTACTAATTTTTTGTTACATCTAGTTGTGATTACTGTTATGCTGTATAGTTTTTTGAAATATTGTTCCCATATTATTTTCTGTAGTTTTTCTCCACTTTTTTTGTACTCTAAAAAGAAAAAGAAATGCTGCTTATTTCTTTATCTTTTTTCATTATTATTAAATCAATTGTCTTATTCTATTTAGTGTTTTCTTCAGTTTATTTCTATCAGCAATGTATATGAATAGCTTTTTTTTTTTTTTTACTTAATTGGATAAAAAATATTGAGGGTATAAATGTTAATCTTATACAATCAATTAATCAATATGTGTATTCAAACATAGTGATAATTAATTGTTATTTAATTTATGACTATGAGACAAATTAAATGTTTAAACTCATCTAATAAATGTATACTTTTAAAAATGAATCCATTATTAGAAATAAAAACATTTTATTTTAACCTTGAACTGAAAAAAACAATCATTCTTGCATATGTTATGAAAGGAATCAGGATTTTGAATGTTTTTTCATTTTAAAACTTAAATATATAGAAAAATATTTTGTTTGAATTTGAATGTGTTCTACAAACTATCTAAAAGGAAATGCAGCTCTATTAAACAATCAATATTATATCAGTAATTCTTCATAGTTCTAAAAAAGAAAATTGCAGTAATTAGGGAAATTCAGTTTTACATCTGAAAGGCATTTCACATGCCACTATTTTGAGAATACATGGAACATACATTAAAACAACTACAGTATTAAACTTCATGTAAATCTAC